CAATGTTTATGACTGCAAAGAATTTTATTTAGTACAACCAATTGTCTCTTTAGTACAATGTTTATTAACTTATACCTGTTTTCCTCTCTGATACTGCACCTCACTGATGGCTTGGAAATGACTCATTCATCCTGAAATAGAGCTCAACACGTATTTATTGAATAAATGAGTGTTTGTTAGTTGCATACTGTGCCATTCATGTATTTAGAGGGGATCAACAACTCAATGAAAATCATTCTTCAAGGAAATGGATGGGGGGGTATATATATGTATGTATTTATGTATGTCAGCCAGTCTTCCTTTCCATTTCTAAAACCTGCTTGGCCTATTGTAAATTAATTCACTGTATACTAATTTGTATATACAGGCATACTTCATTTTATTGCACTTTGCTTTATTGCGCTTTGGACAAACTATATTTTTTACAAATTGAATGTGTGTAGCAAGTATTTTTTAGTAATAATTATTTTTAAATGTAGGTGTGTACATAGCCTTTTTAGACTGAATTCCATTGTAAATTTAATAGACTATCAATAGAATATTAATAGATTATAGTGTAAACATAACTTTTATATGTACTGGGAAGCCAAAAAATTTGTGTGATTCATTTTACTGTGATATTTGCTTTATTGCGGTGGTCTGGAACCAAACCTGCAATATCTCTAAGGTACGCCTGTGTTTAAATTAACGTATCATTGAAACTCCTTTAATGAGAATAGGGAGAGGATTCTAGTTTTATGTAATTTGTTACTAAATTTGTTTAAATGATGTTTGACATATCTTATAAGTATGTTGTGCTGTCATAGTAGCAGAGTTTAATTCTGTTTATGGCATTATTTTCTTTTTTTCTCCTTCTGTTGTTTGACTTTACGGTCCAGCTTTTTTTTTTTTTTTTTTTTTTAAACTACTTTGAGTTAATGAGCACCTGTTAGTCCTGTGGAAGGTGCAGAGAGTATACCCACAAAGTCCCTGCCATGAAGAGCCTCCAGCTGGATAGGGAAGCAGCTGTGTGCTCGAATTTCAGGGCAAAGTGTATTTCTTTCTGTTAATTCTCTTCTAAGCAATGAGGCAGAGTTGCACGGTTTTTACTGTTCAAAAGAAACTTAGCCACCATCCCTAGCACTGGGAAACTGTCTGGGCAGAGGGGAGAGGGAACAGGACCATTGAGATCTGGGTGGGAACAAAGGAGCATAGTTGTGTAATTGACTATGGTGGGAAGCTCATTTTTAATAGCAGACTGGGAATAGTAGAAGTCATTGATAGGGTTGGCTTATGGCAAGAAGGTCAGCCTGAGTTCTGGATGAGTGAAAGTGAACATGGGAGGGAAAACGTTTCAGAAATGGGAGGGTGAAAAGTCGTTCACCTTAAATGTGCCCACAGGGAAAGGTGGTGAGACAAGTATATACCCTTTATATATACTTGGACTGTTCATGCTGTTTACATGAAAGTAAAGGAGGTTAGAAAAGGGGAAAAGTTCTATTCAGGCTCTGTGCTTGACCTGGCTGTGAATAATACTTTCTGTAATTCTCAATCTGGTTACTGATTTACAAAGTTGACTGGATATGTGATTATTTTCCAGGTTGTACTAGAATACTGATGCAGGAAATACAGAAGCAAATCTTGACAAAAAATTAGAGTGGATTCAAAAGAAATTATAGACTGGGCAAATATTTCAGTATAAATGAGATTATATGTTTGGAAATTCCTAGTAAACTCTGAAGGGGTCAGTGTATTTAAGTCTCTGTGTGTATGTGTTTGTGTACTTCCTCATAATCATTGAAAATCTTCCAGATCCTCTTCTAGCTCAGGCCCTGCTCATATCTTTTGGTTAGTAATTCAGCTTCTGCAGATCCAGGGACAAATCACAATAATAGGATATACTTCAGTCTTGCTGTTTAGATATTAAGAAATCATTATGAGGAGTCATTAAGGTAATCAGTAATTCATAAATTTCTCATACCTATTATAATGTGTCATACCATATCTTCATGTTCATGGTTTAGCAATATATGCTGTTGACAAAGTGAAATAAGTGAATTTAATTATAGAACTTAAAATGTAATATTTAAGACATTTAAAAAGCACAGGAAATAGAGAAACCCATGAACCTACCACTCACATCAAATAGCTGTTAATATTTTGCCTTGTCTGTCTTTTCTTTTTTTGCTTTTGAAGCAGTAGAAGAGCACATGCAGCCAAGGCACTCATGCCCCTCTTCATCTCTCTGTAGAGAGAACTGTTCAGAATTAAGTTTGTGTCAGTGCCATGTATTAAAAAATGTTTACTATAGTATCTCTCCACAAACAATGTATTTTAATTTTTAATGTTCTGCTGACTTAAGAAATATTTCAAAAATTACTATAGTTCTTCATGTTATTCTCCCCATGGAAAAATGTAATAATTTTATAATTTTTAACTTTAGTTAGCATGATATTAGAAACATAGAAAATATATTTTTGCCATAGCATTCTGACCTAGCAACATAAATTGAAGTGGGTTTTAAACTTTTGTAATCTATAGACTGATATGTGTTTTACATTTTGACCTAGTACCTGTCACCTATCATCTCTGTATGTGTATATTTCTGTGTGTGTGTGTGTGTGTGTATAAATACTGGAAAAGTTTCCCTAAACTAGGTTCCTGTACTGTGTGTGAGTTGCATTAGTCCCTTGGTATTGGTAGGGTGGGGTGGGGGATGGTTCCAATACCTCACATGGATACTAAAATCTATGGATGCTTCAGTCCCTGATAAAAAATGGGGTAGTATTTGCATGTAATTCATGCACATCCTGCTGTATAGCTTACATTGTATCTAGATTACTTACTATATCTAATGCAGTGTAAATGCTATTGTAAATAGTTGTTACTCTGTTTTCTTTAGGGAACGATGATTAAAAAAAAATTTTTTTTCCTGAATATTTTTGATCTGTGGTTGATTGAATCTATGAATCCAGAACTCAGGGCTATGAGGGTCAACTGTCCTCTGTTATTCTCTAGACTAAATATTTACTTTTAAAATGCTTTGCTCAGGTTTAGTAAATTGATTATTTGACCAAATAGGTTGCCACCCATAATTTGAAAGTCATTAAGATTAATCTTAAAATTTGATCTAATCATAATTAATCTAAAATTAAGACTGACTGTAATATATAAGCCCAAGCGTTTCCAGTATAATAAAGGTGTTTTAAATGAAATAAATATATTAAAATAACATTCTTTATACAAGATTTGATTATATTTATTTTAGCTAAGTCATTCTGATTGTTTTTTTATAAATTAAGTCCATGTATGTCTTACCCATTTAAAAATTAGATATTAATTGAAGTGTTTGAGAGAGTATATGTTGGTTAATACAGAATATTTTTTTTCTGTTCATTTTGACCATGGTTTACCTGGAGGTAGGGAGGGCCGTCATTGTGTCAGGGAAGGGGAAAGAGCTCTTGCTGGCTTAGACATTGACCCCCAAGCCCTGTCACCAGTGAACTCTATATAGCCTTAGAAAATCCTTCCTTTTTTCTGTCTTTCAGTTTCCTCACTTATTAAATGAGGGTGTTATCTAGCTCATCTTGAAAGTACTTTTATTTTGTGAGATAAAAGATAACTGGGACCTGGGTCTCAAGATATTAGAATTTGTTGAGAATATAGCTGATGAAAAAGAACAGTGCTTTCTGTTGGAATTACCGGTTTTGCTGTTATGTTTGAGCAAGGGTTAAGCAGGTTGTATTCAGTTTAATGTAGTTCTTGGGCAATAATTAGTCATTCCTTCAGTATAAAACCATTTCAGAGTAAACTTGACATCCCCAAGATCTCCCTACCTTTTTATGGCATTATCCCTCAGTAGTGAAGGACACAAGTATGTTGAGTGTATATGTGAGCATACGTAAGTACAAGAAGAATGGCAAAGGAATGTTTTTCATTCTGTTTCAGTTAAGTGTCCTCATAGGCAAATCCAAAGCTGCAGAGAGAAATCTAACTTTTCCTAAGCCCTAGGGAATTTTTCTTGAGTCCTACTCAATTGCAGTACTCTGAGGCTTTGGAGAAGTTTTTTTTTTTTGTTTTTTTTTTAAAACATGAATTACATGGTTGGAATAGAGTGGGAACATATCACCTAAACTACACATCCTTAAAACAGAACTTTGCATGATGAATCCTGCATGTTTTGTTTGTTTGTGTGTTTAAGAAGGAGGAGTTTAAATAGCAGTTTGGGGTAAACATGGACCTTTGAGACTATTTGTTCCCATTTTGCTTCTAAGAAAACAGGTCAGGGAATAACTCTTGCCTGGATCTTCAAGTTGAGGCAGAGTTGAGGCAGATTCCCGGTTTCTTTCAGGGTTCCTGTTTTCATTTGGTTTGTAGATTATTTTGGGGCAGCGCAAGGTTTAGAGGGACTTAGAGACCTCCTTCTAACTCAGGTACCTGGGGACTAACCCACCAAAGAATGTTTAAGAAATTAAGAATTTTTTAAGTAGAAATCTGCCCCTACCTAAGGGACTAGTGAAAGTATATTTTTCCTTAAAAGACACCAGGGTAGAAATAAATTGCTGAGAGAGGATCTTCTGAACCACAGAGAAGCATAGGTTAGATTTAACACCTCTGACTATACATTATCTCAGCTCTCTCTCAGTAGCAATATGCAAAGCATGACTGATACTTCTGTTATTTCAGCAGTACTTACTCTCCTTTTATGGAAGTGGATTGGAATTTCTAGACCTCTGGAATCTGATTCAGTAAATGTTCTCACCTCAGGCCAGGGGCCAAGGCTAAACAGTGTTTTGTGACATCCTGTGCTTGGCACTAAGCAGGCACTATGGATTTTTGTGACTAAAGACTGTGGACTTAACTAGTCACTATTTTATGTATTGGGAATTAGAAAGTTTGTCATCCTGAAGTATTATAATTGTTTTTTTTTTTTTAAGTTAAAAAAAAAATGGTTTCCTTTGTGTGTTTAAAGTATTGCTAACGAGCCTTCCTGCCTGTTTTTCCTCCTTCGTCTTCTGTAGTATGCCGAGATTTTGCTGTCCTGGAGGACCACACCCTGGCTCACAGCCTGCAGGAACAAGAGAGTGAGTAATACCTCTCATTTATGCTCCTTCAGTTTTCATTTCTTTTCTTTTTTTTTTTTAACTGGAAGCTTGAGGCTGGTTTCTCAGGGGTTAGGTAGGAAGAGAGCACAGTCACTTGTCGACGTCCTCCGTAAATCATGAAGGATTTCTCTAGGCAAATGATGCCTGGGTGATCAGTGAATTTTTGGGTATGTTTAAGTAAGATGGACTGCCAGGAATTAGTAGACTGCTGCATCTTCAAAAGAGAAAGAGGGGTTTGAACCTTTTTCCTTTCCTTGTGTTATAGGAGGGACACAGTGGTTATAGATTTAACTGAAGTGCATAGAATAAATCTGTTCTTGCTCCTAGGATGGGGACCTGAACGGCTTTCTCAGGCAACCATAGTATAAATGACATCACATTGTGGATTTTTCTGAATCTTTTTTTCAGTGTAGTGATGGAAAGTAAATCTAAGCTATGCATGTTATATTAAAGTACATATTTGTGAATATATGATTTGTGAGTTATTAATTCACCTGTCAATATAAAAATTAAAATATTGAAAAATGCAGTTAATAAATAGAGTGACAATATGTATTAGTAGAAAGAGCACTAGCCCTGGCTCTACAATATTTGTGTAGACATCCTGGCACTGCCACTTTGTTGCCATGTGACCAAAGACAAATTATTTAATCTTTTTGATCCTCCTTTTGCCTAACGGAAAAGTGGGGTAATAATTCTTTTGCTCTCTATTATTATACATTGTTGTTGAGACAATAAAATGAAGTGATGCATGCAAAGCTATTGTGTTACAGTAAAGCTCTTAAGATTATTATGACATTTTTACTAACAAACCAAGGCATTGTAATTCCTGTCCTCAATCTTTTTGTTCCAGTTGAGCATCATTTGGCATCAAACGTTCAGCGGAACCGTTTGGTCCAGCATGACCTCCAGGTGGCTAAGCAGCTCCAAGAGGAAGATCTGAAAGCCCAGGCTCAGCTCCAGAAGCACTACAAAGACCTGTGAGGATGTGGGAGGGGGAGGGGTAATATCAAGACTGGTTTTCTCTGTGGAGCTAGCAACCAGTGCAGGGGAGAAGGAGACTACTTCTGTACCTCTGATTCTTTTTCCTATTAGATTGCAAGTCTTACAGTGGATAGCCAACATTTTTTTGATTTGAAGATTTTTCTTTGTTGTTGGAACACTTGACCAGGTTTAAAGAGATGTGGATGATGGTGTGAGTTCTGACATTTTTAGCTGTATGACCTTGGGCCAATTAGTCAACTTCTCTGAGTTTATTTTCCTTACCCATAACATGGGGAAAATAACCTCTGTCCCCTCTGCCTCATAGTTTCTTAGGGGGATCCAGTGAGATAATGGACATCAAAAAGCTTTATGGGTTGTGTTGGTTCCTTTACTATGTTCTAGCTGTGTTTGCTGCTCTTATTTTCCCTGCTTTTCAGTACATAGCCGAATGTCCTGAGATGCTCTGAAGTGTATACTTAGTTATCTTCATAACTTCAGTGTCTGACAAAAGTTCTCTCTCATTAGCCTCCTTTAATTGATAGATAAATGGAAATTATTATTTCTCAGCCTTCTTTTGACACAGTGACTTCTATTCTGTTTCAGTGTTATAAAGCTCCTAGGATACATTTCTTCTTTGATTGAGAGTGGCTCTTACATCTTAAATCTTTAAGGATAGATTTAACCACAGATACTGTGTTGAGGGGGAAGGGGTAAAGGAAAAATGGAAGGAACCCCTTAATTTACTTTAGTGTCATATTCAGGTGAAAAAGGAAAGCCAGTCATTTTTGCTAACTTACAGGAAGGGTTTGTCTTTCTGTTTCTTATTTGTAGAGAGGACTTTATTCATCATTTTGTTAAGCTTCCTTATTTTGTAAATTAACACTTTTATTGATTCATGTTAAATTTGGCACCATGAAAGGAGGCCAGACATAGGAATAGGACAACTTTTAAGGGCCTCAGGAAAACACCTTGAGCATTATATATCTGGAGATATATGCATGAGTCACAGAGAATTGAAATGTAAGTTTCATGCCTGTTTAGAGAGAAGAGACTGGGAAAAGCTTCAGGAGACAGATGATACGTTTAATCTGAAACTTGAAGGTTAATTGGAAGTTTATAGTGATTTGGGGAAAACCATTGTAGCCAGAAGGAGCAGCATGCATAAGGGCAGGAGGTAAAAGGACTTGGAAACTCATGTTAGCTGCAAGAAGTTCATTATTGCTGGAGTAGAGAGTATAATTGGGACAGAAGTAGGAATTGAGGCCAGAAAAGTAGTCAAAATCTGGACCAAAAGGGTCATGGTAAGTTATGTTAAAGAATTCAAGTTTTGTATATTTTATATTATAGGGAATAGAGAACCATTGGAGTAGTTTTAGATTTTCATTTTGGAATCTCTTCTGGGGAATAGATGGGTAAAGGCTTAGAGGGGGCAAGATTTGAAGGCCTGTTGAACAGTGATCAAATTAAGAGATGATGAGGCTTGAATGAAGACATTGGGGTGATAGAGATAGAGGAAGGAGATGATGAGGCCTAAATTGAAGGTAATGATAATGGAGAAATAAAGAGGAAGAGAGATACTTGAGATGTTATGAGGCTCAGTGTCATAGGTTAAGGTGAGAGCCAAAGCTAGAATGTTCTAGAGTTCTAAATTCATTGCCCTTTACATTTATTAGAATTATTCACAATTCTGTGTTAGAAAGCCCAGTTCTGAGGTTGATGCAGATATTTAAAATCCTGAAATAGGTTAATAACAATATAATGAGCTTATTCAGAAATTATCAAGATAAACCACTCAAATATAAATCAAGAATAGAGAGTGATATTTTGTAGGTCCTAAATGAGAGAAGGAGCAGGTATTGTATTCCTGCCTGATACTTCAAGGGTTTGGAGTTGTTCCTAGATTAAATAAGTAAGCTAAAAGGGAAGTTGATCAGTTCACTCCCTGGCAATTTTGATGGCTGGACATCTTGGGAAGGGTGAAATGCTGCAGTTTTTATTGAACTGGAACCTTTTATTCAGTCTGGATACCAGGACTGCTATCCCAAGTCAGGATTTTCGCCTCTTTACTACTGATTTCTCAGTTTCGTTTTCCCAGGAGTCTGTATAATTAGCTGACCAAACCAGAGCTGGAACTTCTTGGCAATATGTTTTGAAATCATTAAGCTCAGATGAAACTTCACTTCTTTATTTTCTGTACCAGGAGATACATCTTCTGTGTCACTTGTGACTTTTAACACTTCATTTAAGTTTGCCTTCTCCGTGGTGCTTCTACTTTCTTCCCACTTATTACATTGAGTGTAGTTATCAATCACTTAACTCTATATATCAATCACTTAACTCTATACAGATTTTACATTAATTTGGGAGGTTCAGCTAGAGTCTTGAATGAAGACAGAAATATAGAGAGGCCTTTGAAAACTAAGACCATGTTTTGTGTATGATTCTTATTATAATGAGTGAATGAAAAGAAAATATATAAGAATTGCTCTGAGTAGATTTATGTTTCTTTTTATTTCTTCAGTTTGAGTAGGTAAGATTACTATGATATTAGACCTATAATGTGAAGCCACTAAGTGTAAACTTTTTTATAACTTATAAAATGGCATGACAGAGAATGATTTGTGGTTATTACTGGTAGAGGCAGGAACAGAAAACAGGCCTCAGTGGGGTGAAGTGATATGGTGGTATAGAAGAAGCATGGAGCTTTTTGTTGTTGGGTGTGATGATTAGATTCCAGCTCTACCACATATTTTCATTGTGATCTTGGGAACATGATTTAACTTTCCTGGGCCTTAGTTTTCTCATCAGTAAATGTGACAGTGTCAGCCTCTTTGCATCTTTATCTTGAAGATAAAGTGAGAAAAATACGTACTTCTCATAAATTGAGTATTCAATAAATTGTATTTATTATTTTAGGAAATACATTATTTTTTATTTTCCTTATTCATGTTTTCACCTTTGCTTTTTAGTGAACAACAAGACTGTGAAATTGCTCAGGAAATTCAGGAGAAGCTGGCTATTGAGGCAGAGAGACGACGCATTCAGGAGAAGAAGGATGAGGTATAACTTAGTTACTGCCCCTCTCCCTTATGGAGAAAGAGGTGCTCAGCTTTAGAGTAAATACTTCTTGCAGTCATGGGCTCAATGAAGGATTGCTGAATGGGAAACAGAATGCCTCTTATTTGGGCTGCATTTTCCTCTGTGGACCATGATTTATACCCTCTTGATTATGTAAGTGGTAAAAGTCTTGAGAGATGATAATGGATAATTTCACATATGATGTGAATTAGTTTCCTATGACTGCTATAACAAATTACTCCTGCAAACTTGGCTTAACACAAATTTATTGTCCTAAGAGTTCTGGAGGCTGAAAGTCTAAAATCTGAAGTGTTGGCAAGGTCATGCTACCTCTTGGGAAGGATCCTTCCTTGCCTCTTCCTAGCTCCTGACTCCTGGCAGACTTTGGCATTCCTTGGCTTGTATCTGCATCACTTCAGTCTCTGCATCCATTGTCACATGGCCTTCTTCCCTGTCTGTATCTTTGTATCTTCTTCCTACAAGGACATCAGTCATTGGATTGAGGACCCACACTAATCCAGTGTGACCTCAGCTCAACTAATTACATCTGCAAAGACTCTGTTTCCAAATAAGGTCACATTTTGGGTTTGAGTAGAAATGAATTTGGAGAGGGGGCACTATTCAGCTTACTACAAGGTGTCTGTCCCTAGGTTGCTGGTTGTTCTCGCAACATTAGAGAGAGCAGACTTCTAGCGGAACCTGAGCAGAATGCAGGGAGTAGTCGTTGGGAGAGGCCAGGAGCAGGCATTGCTCTCACTCTTTCTTAGAAAGATTTCACTTTCCTATGATCTGTTGGTTAAAAAAATTAATCATTTTGATTCTGTGTATATTTTTAAGTTGTATTGTTAAGGCTGAAAATGACTAAAATTAGCAATAGTGTTTGGCTTGTGAGACTTGAATTTACCATTAGCTGTTATTTCCTTTTGTATGTTATATTTTCAGCACTTTCTTTTTTTTTTTTTTTGAAATAGGGTTTTGCTCCATTACCCAGGGTGGAGTGCAGTGGTGTAAGCATACTTCAGTCTCCGCCTCCCAGGCTTAAACGATCCTCTCAGCCTCTTGAGTAGCTGAGACTACAGGCACACACCCCCACATTTGGCTAATATTTTTAAATTATTTTTTTGTAGAGACGAGGTCTCACTATATTGCCCAGGCTGGTTTCAAACTCCTGAACTCAAGCTACCCTCCTGCCTCAGCCTCTCAAAGCACTGGAATTACTGGCATGAGCCACTATGCCTGGCTTAGTTTCATCACTTCGTATGAACAATTTACTTCGTTTTACATCATTTTTATACTACCTGCGTTCACGCCTATTATGCTGTCCTTGGTCACTGTCTTGATTTATAATAGAGAAGAAATTGATTTATCATTTTTTATAGTTTGATGACAATATGGTTTGTTATGTACCCAGAAACACTTTTGAGGGCTATCAGAATGCTGTTAATAATTACATAAACTGAAACTGTACTGGGCAAACTGGTGCTTACGATCATCCTGTTAAATAGATGATCAGGATCGTCAGTAAACAGCCTACATTTTTGCTACTCCTGCTGAGCCACCCTTGTTCCTATAAGACTTCTTGTGCAATGCCAGATGAATGTGAGACACCTGTTACGAGGGTATTGAGTAGTTTCTTCAGGAAACAAATCATGATCGTGTGGTAATCAGAACTGCAAATAAAAATTAGGGATTATTTTTGATACTTCCTGTAATAGACAGGAGGCTCTTTCTTAGTATTTAATGTATTGCCTCTTTATACTAAAGACTGCTTTGGGGATGACTCTAGGAACTAAAAGAAGTGATTATACTTTGGAGACAGGAAAGCTTCTATTTAAAAGATACCAGAATAGTGAAGTTGGCTTCTTATCAATGCTACTGCTGTCCTGTGGTCTTTTTTGTTTTTATTTAGGGAAAAACAGGATAGAAAGAGAAAATAAAACACTTTATTTTAATTATGTAAAATCTAAATAGTAATCACAGTAAGTAATCTCTTGGTAATACTATATAAACAGCTTAGTGATTAACTCCATTTTTCAGATGTAGAAATTAAGTATTAAAGAAGTAACTGATTCCAAGTTATAATAAAATGCTGGAGAAATGTCTGTACAATTCAGGTCTCTGGACTGCTGCTGACTTTGATGTGCAGTGGCATGCATGAAACGTGGACTTTGGAGTTCCACTGACCTGGGTTTGAATTTTAGCTCATTAACTATTTCGCTGTGTGATTTTCAGCATCTCACTTAACCATGCAGAACCTCAGGTTCTGAAATGGGTTGAGTCATGGTAGTTGTATGTACTCTAAAGGGCTGTTGTGAGATAAATGAGATCCTGTACTTGGGGCATCTTGTACATGTTAAGTTTATAATTGCCTTTGCTTGATTTCTGTTATAGAGAGGTATGTGCTACATAGGGCAAAATTAAATAGGCTTAAGGGTGTTTCAGTATGGTGTGATTTGAGAAGTCCTCGTGTTTACTTACTTGCCTTTACAGGCCTCGCACTAGCTTGCCCTCAGTAGAGTGGAAAAGTTCAATGAGAAATGCAGTTGTGTAGGTCTGTTGACTAGACAAGCCTTTACAAACTTCAGACTTTTTGACTTTTCCACTCATGCCTCAGGTGAGAAGATGGCTACTGTGCCAGTGTTTTTTTATGGTAGAAAAATGTGACTCTGTGCTGACTAGTATGTTGTCAATATTTAATGAAGAAAATTTGCATGAGTAAAATTTGCCATTGAAGGATATATGAAAATGCTTGTTTATTTTAGTCTGTTGGTAACAGGGTGCCTGAGAGGGAGAGGAAACTAAGACTGAGATAGTAGTGCTGATTCTTCTGGCCAATTTTGGAAAAGAATTGTTTGTTACTCATGAGCTGTCTTAGTTCTTTTTTTTTTCCCTTCCCCCTCAATGCTCTTCTGCTTCCCCAAAGAACCTACTTGGTTAATAAGTACTCATTCAGCAGCAGGGCTGTGGAAAATCCCTCTCTGGGTTTCCCCCCAGATCTCTTTCAGAGATTTTTGGGATCAGGTCTTCTGGATAGTAGTTACCACCACATAAATACCAAATGTAGAGCTTGAGAACCCTTTTCTTTTAGAACAGCTAACTTTGTCATGGTATAATTTTATTTTGTTTGTTAACAAAGCACAGATGTAAGGAAAGTTGCATTTCCATGCAGGAGACAGATGTAGAAAAGTTAAAAAAAAAATTTTTTTTTGGTCTTACTAGCTTTGTGAACTCTCCCCTTGTTGTTGTTCTTCACTTTCTTGTTCTGTCTTGCTCTCCCTGTCTTGCTCTCCTGTCTGTTTATTTTTAACTCTTAAAATAGTTTGTTGAGTATAGTAGTTGAGTCCTCTCTAGACCCTATGGAAGGTGCTTGTAGACTTTGGGTATGCTGGACTATATGAATTTGTGGTTAATAAAAGTGGGTTAATCAGTTAATTTAACTTAGTTGTTCTTAAGTAAACTCTTAAGAGTATGTGTGTACTTATGTGCATGACCAGATGTGTGTGTGTGTTTAAACCTAGGTTTAAAATATATGTGAATGTACAACTATTTTAGGGAAAAACTTTTTTTTTTCTTAAGTAATCATTAGCACGGCCAAACATGTCATGAAAAGTTTGTGGCACTAGTTCAACAGTTTGAAGCCCGTTATAATATAAACTGCTGAAGGAATAAACTTAGTAACCAATTCACATTTAAAAAAAAAATGAATCTGGTATGAACCATGGTACTTAGCACTCTTAAGGAGATTAGGATTTCATGTTCTGAAAGAATATTTACACATTCTTTGGTAATAGAGGTTAGATCAAACAATAATACTGTTTAGCTATTAAAAATTTTCCTATGTTTTAAGCATTGTAAAAATAAGTTTTTATATATATGACTAGAAAGGGAAATGGGAGGGAGGCTTCCTGTTGAGGTCTTTCTCTCATACTATTATACTGATGTTTTTACATACATAGAATTGGTATTTTTCTGGTTTCCAAGTTTTATCAAACAACACTTTCGGATTTATACCCATCTTGACATCCCTACCGAGTTAGATGTTAATATGCTGCTTGCTAGTTAATAAAGAAGTTTAGCAATTAATGGAATGATTTTCTTTTTTTTTCTTTCTGACAGTCATTTGACAATCTTTTTTTTGAGACAGGGTTTTGCTCTTGTTGCCCAGGCCGGAGTGCAATGGCGTGATCTCAGCTCACTGCATCCTCTACCTCCTGGGTTCAAGCAGTTCCCCTGCCTCAACTTCCCAAGTATCTGGGATTACTGGCACCTGCCACCATGCCTGGCTAATTTTTTGTCTTTTTAGTAGAGACGGGGTTTCAGCATGTTGGTCAGGCTGGTCTCGAACTCCCAACCTCAGGGGATCTGCCCACCTTGGCCTCCTTAAGTGCTGGGATTACACCGTATCAATGGCAACAATCACATTTTTTAATCACCTTTTGATTGTTTTTAAATTCAACATTACCTCTTTTTAAAATGCAGTACCATTGGAGGATAGAGGTGAAAACTTTGAGACGTAACCCTTAATCCCCTACATACTTATATGATCTAATTCATGTACAGGTTGATCATCCGCAACTCCAAAATCCAAAATGTTCCAGTGAGCATTTTCTTTGAGCATCATGTCTGTGCTTCAGAAAATTTCAGATTTTGGAGCATTTCAGATTTCAGATTTTTGGATTAGGGATGCTCACTCAACCTGTAAACCCCCAAAATACCTCAAAGAACTCAACACCATGTTTCAGTCATTTGTCATCTACTTGGGAAAGATGTGCGGGGATCCTCTGGGTGCCGCTGCACCTTGTTTGTATTAATGCTTCTCTTAGAGCCACAGCAAGATAAGAACTTTAAGGATATTTCCCTATATACCAATCCCCTACTGGTCATAGCACTGTTCTTTAAAGCTAAAGAATCTGGCACAGGGCACATGTCTGGCCCACTGAAGGGAATCACTAAGTCTATGTTTTCATTAAAATTGCCTTTCTCTAGTATTCCAGAGATCCTTAACTGTTCCCTTTCTTATGGTTATAGTTTCCAATTTTCCAGAGTTGTATAAGCTTGGGTAACAGAAGAGAAAGGTCAGATACGATGGTAAACTCCCATTTCAATTAACGTATTTACTAGGAAGTCTTCTGTGGAACAGGGTTATTTTTACATATTAGCCCAGAAGTCTATCTCATTAATTAAAATATAACTAACAATGACCTTAAAAAGGCTTAAGAGTTCATTTAGATTTGTTTTCCCAAGTTATGTTATGTAGAACATTAATTACCTTGAGTTTTTAAAAAATGTAAACAAAAGCTTCTAAAATAAATTTGGAAAATTATAGGTTATAGGAATATAACAGGTGCTTTTTTTTCTTTAATCAAAGTTTTAAAATTTGCTAATGTGCATCTTAAAGAGTTAGATATGCTACATGCTTTCTATTGAAAGGTGTGTTTTTTTTGGAGAAAGTTTTGACACCAGTGTTCTCAGCAACAGGCTTGGGAAGTGCTGCTCTAGACTTACCATTAACAGTAAGGAAGCACCATTAACAGTAAGAAGCTGAGGACCAAGGAGATTGTTTATGTCAAAGGTGACTAAGCTGGTTAGCTACATCCAAGTACTGTAACTAATAATTGCTGTCTTTAGCTTGTTTCAGGGGAATTTACTTTATATTAAAATTATCTAACAGATCTCATTGCATAATAATGTTGGAAAGCAGGGAGAACGGACTTGTACTAAACCTCAGCTATAATATAGTGGCAGTTTTCCATTGAATTTTTGTCCTTTCCTTCCTCAAGCCTAGCAGACCTTTTCTTTCAGAAAAGAGCTGAGAGTTTAGAAGAGCAAAAAGGTTTGGGTGCTAAGGTGCATGATATATTATGGCAATTATTATTTTTTTACTTGATTAAAAGCACTTTCTTTGACTAATAAATTATAAAGAAGGGCCATAATTCATTTTTCTCACCTGGTTTTTTACACAGAGAGAATGGTATATTACTGTGCATCCATTAGAATTAAATTCAGTAGCAGGAAAACAGTTATGAGCAATTATATGAGTAGAACTGTGAATTTCTAAGACTTTGATGGAAAAACTGTCCCCTAAATCTGAAAGTTAAAATGAATCTCTTTTCTCTTACAGTGCAAGTCAGACATGGTTTTAAGAGAAACTGGAGAGAAATAGTCACTTCTAATATGAGCTTTGGAGGAAGCTTCAATTGTTTATCTGTACAATGGAAGGTTTGAACTATTCAGTCTTAAAGCTAAATGTCTTTGACTCCTTACTGTATCATTTTAATAAAGCTGTGTTTACCATGTCTGTGGAGCATAGTTTAATAATTACTGCTGGAAGGTGGATCTGACGGTTTTCCTTTATTTTTTTTCCTCAGTTATAGCAGGGGAAATTTTTGTTTACTGTGAAGCAGACCACTTAGGAAAATATAGTTTTAGGTGCTTAGTAAACATACAGCTCAGGAGAATGTTTACATTTCTTTCTACTTATGTAGTAAACGTTATAGAAATTTGGGAAATTCTTCTGTAACAAATAATTGTTTTTTGGAGAATAGGCTGTCTGTCCCGTTCTTTTCTCTCTTCCTGATTGATACATTACTTTGTAAAACATCAAAGCTAAAGAATCTGGCACAGGGACTGGCACCTGGTAGACACAGGTTTGTTAAAAATGATACATTAAGGAGTCAAAGGCATTTGGCTTTTTTAAAGATTGAATAGTTCAGACTTCCCATTGTACAGATAGAGAATTGAAATTCCTCTCAAATTCATATTAGTAGTGGCTATTTCTCTCCCAGTGTCTCTTTAAACCACAGCCGACTTGAAATGGAAAAGAGATTGATTTTAACTTTCAGATTCGGGGATAGTTTTTCCATCAAAGTCTTAGAAATTCAAAGTTCTATTCATGAAAAGTATACTTGTGTTAAGTAGGATTATGGTATATTTTACCTTTCATTCTGAGTTGCAACATTTTGTGAGTGCCCACTTTAGTGTCTGACACTATTGCATGGGCATTTACATAGATTATTTGTTAAGAAATGTATATATGTGTCAGGTAAAAGTGTATTAATGGTACATTATAAGTTAGTATTTGGCATAAAGTCAGATTTGTAAGGCTATTTTGATGAATAGTAAAAAACAGCTGAGGATATGGCTAAATACTGCTAATTTACCTAGATTCAGTGTACAACTTGTTTCTGCACAGATACAAAAAAAAATTGATTAACTTACATTTTCTTTTTAAGCTGTATATTGCCGTCTTAGTGTATTCTTCATTTGTACTTATAAAATTTGAAGAAGAATAGTAATTATTGCTTTAAAGTTACAACATTAACATGTAGTACTTCTTGTATTCCTTATTAATGGTCAATGTAAAGAAGTAGGTACCTCAAACTACCAATAATTGTTATTAACATTTGTATCAGTGAGTATTGTTCCCATATTTATATGAGCCTTTAAGAATCTGATGATAATGATAGACTTCTCTCCTTAAAAGTATACATGAGCATTTAAGTTTATAGGCTATTTTATGGGGCTTTCATAGAAATAATCTTCAGATTTAGAACATTGTTACCATGCAGCTCAAAACCTTTAGTAACCCTTCTTCCCCTACCTTGTAGACTGCAGACTTCTTAAGATTGTCTAAAAGGAGTTCCTGTGATCCAGCCTTAGATTGTTTTTCTAGCCTCAGCTTTTTCTACAACACTCCATATCTTATGTTGTAATTGAACTATTGGCTGTTCCTTAGATAGGTGCCCATTAAAATGTTCATAACTTTGCTGATGTTTTCTTTTTCGACGTTGCCTATTGGAATTCAGTTCTTTGTTCAAAGCCTAATACAATGCAAAATCTTGTACTAATTCCTTTAAGCAAAAATAATATTCCTTCTTTTGTAGTCCCATGGACATTTTAACCTTTTTGAGGCATTTAGAATTTAATTTTACTGTAGTTATGTTTTCTTTTGAAAAGTTTCTATTAAATTTTTGTTTTCATAAAGGGATGATCATCTTTTTTGGGAACATTATGGAATGTTATTCATCGTTCTATCCCTCACAGTGCCTCTCAGTTAATAACTGCTAAAATTTTGCCTGGGGTTGAGCAAGTGGGAGACAGAAGGAAGACTGTTTTCTCTTTTTCAGTTAAGACAGTGGCATTCTAATGCAAAGCTAAATCAAATTTCCCATAAAATTCTTTTCAAAAGTTTTAAAATTAAATTATAATTTGTAAAGTTTTGTAGATTACTATACCCTGCCCCATCTAGACTTAGTGAATCATCAGCTTGAAAAAGGGCCCACAAATATGTATTTTTTAAAAATTCTGTTGTGTAACCTGTTTTAGGAAGTACTGAAGTTTGTATGGGTTTGTATTGTGTTAGATTTAAATTTCAATTAAAAAAAAAAGCCTCTCTCACTTATCTAGATCATGTGCCACTCCTGTTGAGCAATCATCTGGCATTTGAAGAGCATGAAATTAATGTCAGAAAGTCTAGAGAGCCATGGACAGAGCACATACAGACTTGACAGTGAAATGTCAAGCCCCTACCATATGGAGTTAGTTCGTTCTTTGGTAATGCATATTTCCATTCTCTCTTGTCTTTGCAGGACATAGCTCGTCTTTTGCAAGAAAAGGAATTACAGGAAGATAAAAAGCGAAAGAAGCACTTTCCAGAGTTTCCTGCAACCCATGCTTATGCAGATAATTACTGTTACGAAGATGGAGGTAACAATTCCTGCATCATGATCTGTTCTATCCTTAGACTCAACCATAAAACACTCCTTTAATTTTGTCCATAAAGTGACCTTAGAGACCTGGGAATGTTTCTCTTATCCCCAGGCACTGGGTACATTTAGATACATGACAAGATTCTTTTTGAATCTAATAAATTCGTGTGTGTGTGAGACAGAATATGGAGTCTTGCGTGTGTGTGTGTGTATTTGAGACAGAATATGGAGCCTTGCTCTGTTGCCCAGGCTGCAGTGCAGTGGTGTGATCTTGGCTCAGTGCAACCTCTGCCTCCTGGTCTCAAGCAGTTCTTCTGCTTCAGCCTCCCAAGTAGCTAGAATTACAGGCATGTGCCACCATGCCTGGCTAATTTTTGTATTTTAAGTAGAGATGAGGTTTCACCATGATGGCCAGGCTGGTCTTGAACTCCTGACCTCAAGTTATCCACTTGCGTCACCTTCCAAAAGTGCTGGGATTACAGGCATAACCACCACTCTCAGCCTTATCCGTTCTTTAATTGGACAACCAGAGCCACTTTTATGACTTAAAATTTGAATATGATTTTGTAAGAATTGGCATACATTTTTTTAAACTTTAGTGACTTGGAATGACTTAGTATATTCTAAGCACATAAAAATGGGGTGTGGAAAATGGTGGATGAGTCTCTGGACAAGTCTGGGCAGTACTGTTTGAAGCAGCAAAGTTGTATGAATAAAGAAGGTATACCATGCATCAGTTACTGGGTAACAAAGTTTTTTTCTATGCCTTCTTGTCTTTTAAACCTAGGCCAATGGTTTAGCCTACTGATGACAAACAATATTAAATTTTAAGATTTCCATGTTTATTTTTTCTTTTTGATCCTTTCTTTGCTATTTGATTACCATATAGAATAATTTCTGAAGGAGTAATTCCCTCAGGTTTGCTTCTCTGGTGCCTGCTTTGCAGTGTGGTGATGGTGATGGTGTGGTGGTGGCAGCTGTGGTGATTCTTTATCTTAAAAATGTGTTGGGAAATGAGTATTTGCAAGTATTGTTCAGTCCTTCTCAAAGATCTGTCAAAGACAAGACTTTTTCCTATGGTTACAAGTATCAGTATTTAAGGAAATTCAGCTTAAAGACCAATACTTAGGATAACAAGTGAACAAAACCTAAAGGCAACTTTTAGAGTTAGGTCAGTGATCTTAAAGGGCCTTGCAAACCAGTTGTCAGCTGCTTTTTTGTAATTCCATTATAAAAGGTAAGTATGTGTTTCTCTAGTGAGTAGAATGAAAGCAGTGTATATTGATGGGATTATTATAGTTTGAGTATAATTTTGCCCAGTAACATTTTTTGCTCTAAATTTACCTTAATCAGTAGAACTCAGCTCTGTGGACTTTCTAGTAAGCAGGCTGATTCTCCATTTATTGCTTGATGTGTTTTCCTCCATATGTAAAACTCTCAGCACTTTTTTGATAGCCATTTTCGTTATGCTGGTTTTTCTGATGAAACTATAAATTATGTCATTTAAAAAGAAAAATTATCGCCACATTTTGCTATAGTAAAGATCAGAAAGTAAAGTGTTGCTCTTCAGCTTCAATTTAAAATCTAGAAATGTGGTCTAGTTTTTTTCCCCTTTTTAAAAAATTCTGCTTTGGAGATATATTCACTGTAAATGTTATTATTTTAAACTATTCAGAATATAAAAATATTAGGATGACAAGTAATTAAATGCATTAAAGAATTAATTTTAGCCTTCCCCTCTTAAAGCCTTATGCTGACTTGAATTGAGACTCAAACCTGTTTTTTTGACCAGAGTACTATCATCCTGACTTGTTTCTCTATGGCAGGAGACTATGTTAAGAATTCAGTGGTTTTTCAGGAACACATAAAAGTTTTTCAAAGTATTTTATGTTTATTTTAATTACTCTGATAAATTTGTAGAGAGTGGCATATATGCTTGTTTCTTTGGGGAGAGAGGGACTTTGAAGGTAGTATTGAGGAAAGGAAATGGTGACCTCCTGAGCACATGTGTGTAAATACTGGAATTTCTGTTGCCTCAGCTGTGTTGTTGGGAGATTGTATATTGTTGAAGGTGGGGTCCTCATTAATATGCCCTTGTGTTAGACCAAGTTCAGTTCCACAGAAACTATATTACAGTTGAGCTCATATTTACAAAGCAATCCTCTGTTCTTTGCACTGGTCCTTTCCCAACACATCTGGGATATTCTTTAATTATACCTCTCTGCATGTCTTTGTGTATGTACTTGATTTTTGCCTTACTTGCATAGTAATCACAGTACATCATTACAGAAATGGCCAATATTTCAGCGTTGATGTAACTTGAACTTTAATACGTTATCTATTAGAATGATTATAGGTTTTCTACAAATTTGAAATTGTGTAAAACATTTGTCAAATTTATATCAGCTCTTAAATGATAAATATTATTTATTAGTGAATCCATGTTTTTCTTTCAAAGCCTCTTATTGCAGTCATATTAGTAATTTTTTTAAAGTCATGGTGTTTGGAGTCATAAGACTGTGGTTCAAGTCCTCTCCCTTCCTTAGAACAATATTAATTTTAATGAAGTTATGTACTAAATAATTAAAATGGAGATTACAAAAGTAAATCCTTCATTTGGATGTTGAGAAGATCAAATAATTCAATTTTGATGAAGTGCGTACTGTTTATACATATATCAGTGTTATATGTGTATAATGTAATATTTTGTATTTCTATCTTATTTTGAAAGCCAAACATGGAGGCACACATAAAATGCAGATATATATATGTGTGTGTATGTGTGTGTATACATATATATGTATTATGTATTGGCATATATTATGTATACATATTATGTATATGCATTACCTAATACATATATATGTATTGGCAGTGATGGAGTAAGTTATATTTGCCAAATAACTTGGTCTCAAGAAGCATACAAGTCTCAATCCTCAACTATATGTGATTTTAAAGCATTCAGACAGATTCCCCACCTCATCTTTTTTGTCCCAAGATTTAAAGCTGTCACAGCAGACACATTTATTATTAGAGAATAAATTTTTCCAGCCAGCTCTGTGAAAATGTAGAAACAGCTCTGTAATAATTCCTGCAACATATTTCCTAAAAGTAAAACTTATGAATATTAATTAACTATTTAGAAGGAATTAAAAATCATAACATCACAAATTCACTGTCAGAACCCAAACCTTTTTGTTTCTTTTGAGCTAGAAGGTGGACTTCACTTCTGCAATTCTAAGTGAGCACATTTTTGGTAACACCGTAAACGATTGTTCCCTGGATATGGTCATCATTTAGGTAGCTGGTCTTTATTATATTAATTTACAGCAGTAGTCACTTGATTCTTTCTCAGTTTTTATGACAGACTTAATAGTTTGCTTAAAAGAGTGGATTTTTTTTTATCATAGGGTAATTGTTCTGTTTCACTTTTGATTTTATGTAAAACACAACGATGAAGATAAGTACTTCTACAGACTGTTGAGAAAACAAATTTTAATTTAGATTTATCTTTGGAAGCAAGCTTTCTTCTGGAAAGCTCAAGAGGAAAGAATTTGAGGTTTTTAATGGAAACTTATGGCATCATTGGAACATTTAGCACATATTTCTTTCTTGCTCTATTCCTTTATCAGATTAGTATCAAATGAAACAGAAAGAAAACCTGTAAGTTTTTTATTTTCTTTACATCTCTTCAACTTATGGTAGCTCTTTCAAATGCATTCAGCAAGTGGTTGATTCCAGTGGGGAATCTTGGCTATTTTAGCAATTTTCCATGGAAGTGGAATTTTTTTGTTATTTCAAAAACGTAGTAAAAAGTTCTAGAAAATGTTAAGATCAGTATATTCTTGCAAAGTGCATATTAATTTGCTGCCTTTGTCTTTATGGTACACTTGTGCCTAAAAAAAGACCTGAATAAGCACTGTATCTCTGCTGTTTTTGAAGTTTGTGTTAAAATTGGGGACATATATTTAGCATATGTTGTTATTTTTATACAAATTTTTGTTCCATCAGGGCAACCCTTTTAAATTTTTTCCTTGTCAAGTTTCAACTAAGATTGAGAAAAGAATTATCTAAAGATAATAGGGTCATGAACTCCAAAGTTCTCGTCTACTTGATCCTCTTTTACATTGAATTGTAATAGAGGGCTGTTTTCTGAAGTGACTGAGTGTGTTTGCTCTGACCACATAAAGTTGGCAAATAGAGGAATATAAAAATCTGTGGATCATTTCTCTGAACTCAGAGAAACTAGCAATACTCTGATACAGTTCTGTTGGCCTTTCCAATAAGAATGTTTGAAAGCCTCTGTCTAAAATTACAAAGCTTAATTTTTTTGTTTTACAAGATTACTCCACCTCTACTTTTTACTCTATACTAGTTTCAAATTGGTTTATAAATATAACTTAATCTCTAATAGCTATGATTTTTGTTATTGGCAAATATTAAAGTGTTGTTAGGTATACCTAGTCATGATCAAGTTCTTCTTTCACATTTGATTCGCTTAATTTTAGTTTCTTACCTTTTTGGCTGTGTATCCAGAATTCTTCAGGTATGCATGGACTGTTTCAGTAATTCTCATCCCCTCTTCTCAATTTGTTAATTCGAAAAAGCAGTTTTCTCCATTTTTAAAGTGTCCTAAACTGGGGCCCAGACTCTCCCCTGTGTAATGAGTTCATACTCTCATTAAATTAATGTGCATTTTTATTTTTCACATTCCTCTGCCTCCACTCAGACCAATCAAGGTCAAGGAGGGCCAGGGAATTGGGTTCTGGATTCTCAAGACCTTGTAGACTCCAAAGAGATGGAAAGACTGTGAAGCAGAAGAAGGAGAAACCAGAACATCCACTGGAGAACTTGGAAGAGCCAGAACAGCATTGTTCATCAGAGAGATCCCTGTCATCCTCTAGCTGGGGCACAATGAGGGACAATCCCCAAATTAACAGTAAGCAGCATGAAAGGAAACGATCCACTCAGAAGAGGCTCCAGAGACCTCCACTTCCCACAATCAGTGGTGAAGTGTTTCTGAGCACTGAATATGATGACTTGGAGGCTAAGAGTAACCATCAGACTCGAAATTGGGAAAAACATTCTCAACACCAAGACCGACTTTCACCCAAGCCCTCACAAAAAACAGGGCTTCACTGCAAGGAAATTGTATATGGGAGGGACCATGGGCAAGGTGAGCACAGAAAAAGGAGCCACAGGCCCAGGACTCCTCCATTCTCAGAGCGTGAGAAGCAGCTCCACCTCCACGACCCAGGTAAAAGAGGACAGTCATGATGGAAGTCCTGGTATCATGTTTATACCTGCAAACCAATGAATTTAATAAGTATCTTAAGCAGCCTTTCTTTCTCTCAAGTTTGTGCTCATGACTTTGAAACGAATCCTAGAGCAATATATTATAAAAGGTACACACTTAATCTCAGGTCTGTAAGAAGCAGGAAAATATTTGTAACTTTTCCCTTGTGTGAGAATGCACTGATTCCTTCGAGAGTTCTTCCAGGCCCAGGTTGTATTAGAGGTAACCATTCCAGATACAGTTCTTCATTTCCCAAGACTGCATATCAAAGATTCTGATATTAAATGAAAACTCCTGAATTTCTGGTTTTACTTCAGTGAACCCAGAAGAGCTGATGAGCCTGTCTTGATAGTATTTGCCTAACCAAAAGGCTAATAGAGCTGGAAATACTATATTTTTTAGACCTCATCTTTCTCATTTGTAAAATGAGGAGTTGGATAGGCAGTCTTTTAAGAAAGTATTTTTCAAATAATATGTCTCGGTTCATTTTCATCAAAATCAGCTGTTAGCTAGAAATGGAAATTTCTGGGTTTTACATCTATTACCATCTCTGGAGTGAGGCCTGGCAGTTTGTGCATGTTTTAGACCTGGAGGTAGATTCTTAGGAACTTTAAAGTCATTGCAGTAAGTTACTTTTTATGCTCTCACTTTCTCCAGCTCTAACTCCACAGTAGGTGTTCTAAAGTGTCAGTACAGGTAAGTTCTTGGTACCTATATAGGAATGAGGTAAATATTACAGGTAACCCTCAAATTTCTGGCACTCCTGAAGCTTAACTCAGAAGTCCATCATTGACACAGTAATGGCTCTATTTTCTATAAACTGCTGAAGTGATGTTTTCCATGTATGTGGATGTAGCACTAGAAATCATAATACCAAGGAGCCAGTCAAGTTCTATTTGTGGTCGGAGAACTTGTTTCTAGGTTGTAGATTTGGGTGAAGTTGGCTTTTCCTGTCATGTTATTTCTTATTAAAGGACGTGGTTAGGCAGAAAACTAAAATTTAGTTCATGAAGCCGTTCTGAATAGCTGCCACAAATATTCTTGTCTTAGGTTTTGTACTTGGATTTCAACCAAAAAGATGGGTATGTAAACAATTCCAAATAAGATACACTTAGTTAGGGAGACTTTAACAAAGAGCTGTGGAAAAATAGAGGAAAGTATGATATAAGCTATCTTGAGTAGGTTTATAAGGAAGTTATACCATTTTCAGCTTTAGAAAGACATTTTGGAGTTCCAAAGGCCTGGGGAAAATATGGAGGAAGAATGGTTGTACACTGACCTTTAGGGTTCTGCTTCTGTGAATCTGACTTTCAAGAGTGCCCTGAAGGCTAGGCAGGCTTTAATGGCTTTTAGTTATGCCCCAGGATATTTTAAATAGGCTTAGGAAGCTTGACACTAAACACTGACTCACAGGCTCCACTACTGGAATTGCAAATGTTTTGTTTTGCTTTTTATTTTGCCAGTACAAGGGATTAAAAAACAGTGCTACCAGGCAGATATTAAAATGACTACAACATGAGCTGATTCCCGTCTATCATTTTATATTCAGCTTGCTTTTTACACTTTACCTTTCTAGCCTTTGTAGGCATTTGATTTTGTAACTCACTGGACTAGATCAGAGGATTACATTATAATATAATTACTAGTAGTGGCATCTATTCTTGTGGTTGTAAAAGCACAGTTCTTAAAGTTGTTAGGACAGACCAAAGTAATATTTAACTTAATAATGAAGAAACTATCAGGATGACAGGGAGCTGGTTCGAAGAGCGTTTGCAGAGAGCAGCATTAATAGAATCAGCTGAAAAGGAGCGCGAAATAAAATTTTAAATGAAGTATAAGATAGGTAACTTTCTACAGGGCAGTGGGTACCTAACCTTTCAGAGTTACATCTCTATTAGATTATAAATTCTTAACAGCTTATCATTTTCTGCAGGTTAACTTCTAAACTCACAGGGCCATAAAACATTTGCACTGTTCTGCTGTGAATTGTTAGTCAAATATACTGACATTCCCTAAATGTCAGGCTGGTTTATTACAAATATTCGTACATGACATAAAAAAGAAGCTATTATGTTACCTTATTCCATGCTCAGAATAAAGTTATCTTGATATCAATACTTAAACAATTTTATTCTGTAAATTTATTTAAGGTTGAAGTTTTGTGTTCATTTAGGGATGTTCTTGTGTTCTCAAACCGAAGGATGATGAACAGAAAAAGACAAGGAGGTGTTACATAAAGATGTATATGGAACTTGAAAATACCACTCACTCGATTTTTTGAAAGCTAATTTCCAGAGTCTGTTTAGCATACTGAGATTCGGGAAACTCATTCCTTAATTTCCTTCAGTTAATTACATTAAAAAACTTTTTAGACTTCTTTGTTTTCTTAAGTGATGGCCTTACACTGCACTATCTTTGAGTTTTTTTTTCTATATCCTTAAAAAAATTCTTGTCACCTTAGGTCTAGAGGACACTGCAGAGAATGGGCATCCTGACGATGCAGAAATTTAGTATTCCAAGCTGTGGGAATTTTCTGCTTAATGAGATGTACACATTCCAGAGATACATCAAGGGTTTAAATAAACTGTTTCCCCTCTAAATATTTGGAACTGAGAGATATTCCTTCAGATTCTGACTCTTACTAAGTCATCATTCTCTTTTTAACTGCCAGAGGTTATAGTCTTATCACCCTGTCAAACCAATTAGACTGTTCAGTGGAATCTTGTCTTTGGCAGAATTTAAAACAATGTGTCTTTAATAAAATTTAAAGTGAAATATCTTCTTGGCTAATTCTGTGGTTTACCTTAGGAGGCATAATAGTGGAGAAAATTTGGTCTCTTGAAATTTGAGCACATCCCACTCTATTATTTCACTGATGGCAAAAGTGAAGGAGCTAGGCATGTTCCATAATCCTTAATTAGGCTTTGGGCTGCTTATTCAACTAGCGTTTTTTTCTGTAAATTGGAATATGGCATATATATATATATATATTGCAGACCCTCTTATCCACTGATGTTGCCCAGTACTGAGTTCCTTATCTAATTTCATTTTTTCTGAAATTTTCCTAGTTGTGACTAAGCTAAATAACTCAGGGAGATTTATATTCTTTTTACAGATGGTCCACTCTTGAGAGTATGCCATTGTTTGTTTTGCTGTCGCAAACCACTCGGAAATCTAGATTAAACCCAGCCCAGCATAAGACTCTGTAGCTGTAGAGATGATTTGAAGTGGTCTGTGCAATCAGGTTCTATTAGGTCTGAAGCTAAGAAAGCCAGGTTTACTAGTCTGTCTTTGTAGGAAAGACAGATGTTGAGTCTATGGCTTCAGAAGCCACAGAAGCCAGGTTGAAAGTTGTACAGAAATAGGCTTCACAAAATACTTAAATTCTCATCATTTGCCCAGTATTTACTTGTATTTTATTTTCTTTCCTTTTTAAAAATATTAGTAGCAAGTGAGTCAAATGTGAAACATTTTTATAAAAATTATTTTAATTTATAGTAATTTTAATGGACATAATACATTAAACCAGTGATTCCAATATTAATTGCAAGTAAGAATCAACTGGGAAGATTTAAAACAAACTTACCCAAGGACAGGTTACACCCAGGCTACTTAACTTAGAATCCCTGGGGATTGGGGCAGATCTTTTTATATGTATTCAAAGCACCCTCATGTGATTCTCCTATATAGCCCTGGTTGACAGCCTCTGGTATAGACAGACAGACAATCAGGAGTACATTTTCCTTCTCCTCTGAATAGTTAATTTACTGAAATGAAGTATTTCAGATGAGTAATCTTGTTCACTGTATTCAAAATTTCTATTAATTCTGAATATAATACACTCACACTGTTGAGTAAAAGTTTAAAGCGAGAATTGCTTTATAGGAATAAATTGGAAGAGAACTCTGTGGTCATTGTGCCCTCAATATAGCTCTTATGTTATATCGTCCCTAAAATTTAACAGTGCCATCAATCTGATCAAAGCTGTGGGGAAGATCTAAAGTAAGTGGTTTATTGACTCTCAGAGCAAAAGCCATGGCAGGGCCACTGCTTGGCTAACAGGTGTCATCACATGACTACCAGGTGATGCTGTTTCTGTTCCCTCTGAAGTAATAAGTATGCAGGCTGAGGTAAATGGGAGGAAGCCTTTCCTCTCCTCCATCCTTGACAGCTTAGCTGCTTTTAAACTCTGACTCTGTAATTTGTTTTTCTTTAAATTCTTTTTATTTTCAGTGACTTTTTTTTCACTTTGTATTTTCCAGGTCCTCACTTGCAACTTCTTACATAATTTTCTGCTGTTGCAAAAACTATGTGAGAGGGGAGTTTTTACCAGGCAGGTTTGGTTAGATATCTTTGTTTAAATGTATGCATTATCTACATTGCCACTTCCATTCCTAGGGCAAAAATATTTTAAGTGCACCCCACACTGAATTCTGGAGTAGAGGTAATATTGTCATTGTTAGCTACTAAAGAAAATCTTCTTTCTTAAATTTTGTAACTTCTCTGAAAACATCCTCAGTTGTTTTATTACATTGAGGTTTTTTGTTTGTTTTTTTTTAAAGGAATGAAGCCAAGAACAACAAAAGAAGCTATATCTACTGAATCACGAGTGACCCACAGGGATCAGGAATGGTATGATGCTGAAATTGCCAGAAAACTACAAGAAGAAGAACTTCTGGTGAGCACATTTTAAAGCAAAAGTTTAGCTATACTGATGGATATTTTTTTTCTGAATTCAGCCAGTCTTGAGATTATATTAATAGTCCTCTATCAATTAAGAAGCCTTTTTTATGAGTGGAAAAATCAAGACAATCGGAATAGAATTATCCAGTTTTGCTTGGTGAGTAAGGATTAACAATGAAGTCCATAGCCCCGTCTCTCCATGATTGTTCTCCATGACCCTGTTGGAGGATTTGATAAAAAGAGCTCCTGCTCTGGCTGGTGAAAGCATACCAACTGATTATCAACCTCAGGAACATGAATCACAATTATTTTCATAAACCAGCTTATTTTATACAAGATATTAAAAAAGACAACATAGATTCCAATTAAATTCTTTGTTTTTGTATTTTCAATAATCATAGGCTACCCAGGTGGACATGAGAGCCGCTCAAGTAGCTCAAGATGAAGTAAGTTAATGAATTTAGCTGATATTCTTTGGAAATATCCCCATATATTTCTGTCTGCAGCTCTGCAGTTAGTGATGTTGACTGTATTCTGTTTAGGAAATCGCTCGACTTCTTATGGCTGAAGAAAAGAAAGCTTATAAAAAAGCCAAGGAGCGGGAGAAATCATCTTTGGACAAAAGAAAGCAAGACCCTGAGTGGAAGGTAGAGTATGTTTTGTTTGTTTTCTAATTAGAAATAAGAAATGAAAAGGGGACTTTTCCTTTAAGTTAAGCTCTGCAAATATATTTAGGATATATGGATATATAAATTATCTGTATTGCATATGTGAATCTGATTTGTGAAGGTTGCATCACCATGAAAAATCACTGAAGTTTGAAAATAACTATGTAAAAAGTTACTGCTAAGATTGAAAACTCATTCTATTCCCTTTAAGACCCACTGAAGTGCAAGTGCTTCTGGTCATGAACAGTCTTAGTTTTCATATACAGTACTTTGATTATAGAAGAATGTAGCATTTTCACAGGCTTTCATATTTTCCTCAATGACCTTATCTTCCCCTCTCTACCCTTTGTGTTTATATTATCTTCCATCTCTATCACGTACTTGTTTCTCTTTCCTTTGACGTAATGTGGTTTGTGGCAGACTGAAATATACATACTTATCACCAACAATTATTACTTATGTCACAGTGAAAGACCTATCTAGCATAAATTTGGACTGTTACCTTTCCCCTCATTGATCAGAAATAGTGGACAAAATAAGTAGTTACTGCAATTCATTTTGCTGTAATTTTATACTGTATGCTGTAGTTGGAAGTTTCAGTTTAGCAGATTTTACTCATCAGTGACAGCGCACAAGGCAACACTTTGGAACTACATGGAAAGACAATTTTTCCTGATAGTAGTGTAAAATTTAGAGAGGAAGACAAAGTGTAGACAGCTAATAAATAGAAGGTCAAACTAGGTGGGAATAGAGCAGACAAATAGGGACAGAATTCGTACAATGCAGGATTTTTAAGGAGGGAGTTTACGGTAGACCCAGAAGAACAAAACCTATGTTGTGTATACCTGATGCAGTTGGTGTTTAGCACTGGTCCCTCTTGAACAAATTCCTCCACTGGGTTTCTGATTCCACTTCATAGTCTCAGTAATGGTTGTGAGGAAAAAGAAGGTGTAGAAACCCTGCTAATAGTATTGCTGTACTCTTTCCTGTTGCTCAGTTACCCACGTATTAGTCTAAAAACAATGAATGTATTATTCTCATACGAATTATATGTATTTAGCTCTCTCTTTTACCTAGTTCAGTAATTCAGGATTTTTTTCTAAAATATTGTTTTAGTTAACGATTCCCAAATACTTCTGTTAAATAAATTAAGCCACACATAATTGCCCAGGAGTTACTCAGATTCTTTGCTACCTTAACTAGGAAAGAGAAGGATTACATATCAAGCAGGTCAGAGGGCATGGCCACATCTCTAGCAAGTACCATGGCTTCTGTAACTTTTATTTTATAACTAGTGCCGGTACATTTCCACTCTTGGAAAAGTGGACTTGAATTTGCCTCAGTTGACTGTCTGGAAATCAGCCTAAGACCAGGTGTGTGGAAGTAAGTTTGAGTGTACAAACCTGGATTTCGTAGACTCTGGGCGTCCCCTAGTTCTTGTCAGCTGCTATGTAGGTATTATGTTAATAATCAGTGGCCAAGCAGTAGGGAAGTGTGTTTATGTGTGTTTAACCCATTTCTCTGGCTGCTCAAAGGCTGTCAGATGAGTTGGCTAAACACACCTTCCATGTAGGTCCAAAGTATACCTTTGTGACTATAAGTTTTATACCTCTCAGTGGCCATATATAAAAATATTTTATATTGTTCAACTAAATATAATTAATCTGAAATTACTAAGGGAGAGCTTGGCATGATTAACATAATTTCTGAACCTAATCTGTCTCTTTGTTTGATGATTCTGGATTGTCTGTGTGCATTATTTTTGTTTGTTTGTATTTTTGTCTATAGCCAAAAACAGCTAAAGCAGCACACTCAAAGTCAAAAGAGAGTGATGAATCTCATCGTTCTAAGAATGAAAGGCCAGCACGGTAAGATGACACCTAAAAAGGAAAATGAGGAAGTTGACTTCGGGGTGAGTAAGGAGATGACAGTTGCCTGAGAAGAGTATTTGTATTTTGGAGAAAAGATCCAAAAGTCTGCATTTGTGAGGTAGTGTCAAGACCTTCAGGGTTATTTTCGAACTTTATTTTCTGTCTTGGGTTGCACACATCAAATCAGATATTTTACAAAAGTTGAGGTGGATAAGGAAGGACATAACTTTTTGTTAGGACTAATTCTTAACTCTGCGTTCACTGAAGTTAGGCTTTTAGCTTGGAGAAGGAGAGTGATCTTTTTCCTAAGTAAAATTTCATGTTTTAAATTTCTACCGGGTTTTATAGCCACACTGATGTGTCTATGACATTTACACATGCCCAAACTCATTTCTTTCTGAATCTCAGTGTCCTTGACAAAATCTTGAATCCTTGCAGACTGTCTAAATCCCACTAGACAAATAGCTGTGGCTATGGTGTACATACTTTCTGATTTATCCCAAACAGTCATGGGTAATAGTTATTATGGAGCAGCTGTTGTCTTTCTGCCTCAAGTTGTCAACATTTAAGTCTCTTTGGAAGTAACCTTTTTTTACAAAAATTGCTTTTGGTTGCCTTAAACATGATGGAATGTGAAGAAAAAAACGTTAAAAAACAAAAAGAATACTAAATTTAACATTTTGAAAACTCAGAATTATTCAAATTTGAATTTTGTTTCTGATTAGTAATATTTATAATTCTTAAAACGTAACGTTTATTTCGTTGAATAATTGACACTATTGGTGCCACTCATTGCCCACACTTAAGCTCCTAGATTTGTTTCCTTCAAGTGAGTGTATTTAGTGTCCTTAGAAACTAATCCTCTATTTTAAAACTCATTTGCTTTCAGAAGATAAAAACCCTTCAGCAAATTACATTGGATTTGTATTGCTCTGAGAACAATAGTGGCATATTCTGTCTAGTTATATAAAATCTGTTTCTGTTGTAGCTTTTGGTTAAGCACCTGCCAAACCTTTTTTTAGAACTATATAGGTTAGTACATTCCCAAAGTATCCAAGTAAAAGAAGCAGCAGCTAATCTGTTCTCAGTAAGTAAATACATCTGGATTATTATTCCTTTTTTAGTCAAATGAATTTAAATCATCCTGAGGCTTATTCTGCAGTCTTCAAATCCTTGGCTTCTTTAGAATACTAATACTGTTGACAGCATATATGATGGAACAGTCTTGGATGGTTTCTTAAGATGGTTTATTAAAGTCTGAAACAAGTTTTTGGAATGTGATAGATACTTTAGAAATATTTGGCATATTGAAAGTGAATAATTAAATGATCCTGTATTAAAAATGGCCATTGTAAATGAATGAAAAGTGACTTAAAGCTAGTAGAGCAGAAATTTTTGTTTTTACTTCAGTGGAGTATGTGTCTTTAAGTGTCACTTTAGGATTGTATATATGACAAAACAAAAAATAAGAATTTTATGAAACCTGTATTTTCATAGTTAACAATTAAAGCTTATATATCTTGCCATATGTAGATACCTTGCACAACTAATATCAGAATATATACCTTTTGGTTAGAATCTTCTAAAATGTTATAGTTTAAGGTCTTGAATTTAAGACTTTAATCAATCTTAATTTTTGTCTCTGGTGAGAGGTATGGGTCTAGTTTCATTCTTCTGGATATGGTCAGCCAGTTTTCCCAGCACCATTTTTTGAGTAAGATGTCCTTTCCTTATTGTTTATTTTTGTCAACTTTGTCAAAGATCCCTTGGTTGTAGGTGTGCAGCTTTATTTCAAGGAGTCTCTATTCTGTTACATTGGTCTCTGTGTCAGGTTATGTACCAGTACCATGCTTTTTTGGTTACAGTAGCCTTGCATAGTTTGAAATCTGGTAATGCAATGCCTCCAGCTTTGTTCTTCTTGCTTAAGATTGCCTTGGCTATGTGGCTCTTTTTCGGTTCCATGTGAATTAAATAGGTTTTTTAAAAAAATCTCCAAAAAAATGACATTAGTAATTTGATAGGAATTTGTCAAATCTGTAGATTGCTTTGTGTAGTATGGACATTTTAATAACACAGATTCTTCCAACCCATGAGCATAGAGTGGTTTTCTATTTAATTATGTCATCTATGATCTCCTAGACCTGACAGACAACTTAAGCATAGTCTCAGGAAACAAAAACAAAAATTAGTAGCATTTCTATATTCCAGTAAGGTTCAAGCTGAGAATTGAAAATCAAGAACTCAATCCCATTTACAATAACCACACACAAAATACCTAGAAATACTTCTAACCAAGGAGGTGAAGGTCTCTGTGAGGAGAACTACAAAACACTGTTGAAAGAAGTTTTTCACTGTTTATAAGGAAATAGAGAATAACTTAGCAATCTGAATTCCAGATTGTTTCAACTACATGGTTTTATACTGGTAATATTATTTGTTATTTTACTTGGATTTTTTTTCTTAGAAAAATTAAATATTTTATAAATCTCATTTTATTCCTTGTGCATCCTTATGAATGTGAAATACATTTGTCTCCATTTATTTATCAGGTATTTATTGAGCGCCCTAATAATTGGCTCACGCATAATTGGGATACACGTCAATCAGTAAGAATGAACTCTGTCATGTTCTCAGGAGTTTATAATCTAAACAAATAATTATCCAAGTAACTATTTTGATTGTGTTGAGTGCTGTGAATGAGAAGTACAAGATGATAAGAACATGGGGAGACATCCTGGTTTAGGTGTCTAGGAGGGTTTCTTAAAGAAATGAATTCCGAAAAGTGTTTGACTATATTCTTAAGGTAAATGTGTAAATTATTTCATGAGAACAGTAGGAAACAGACAATCTTAATACAATAAAACTATAAAATAAAGTGTTGGTTAGTAAGATTTTTCTAACTCTGAACTTAAATGTCCTTAACTTTAAAATAATTGTCTCTGGTATAACAAAATAATTTGTTAGGACTCCTGACAACAGTAAACCAAGATTTGTTCTCTGCATAACCGGAAATTGAACAGAACTTATGAGAACACTTAAGAGAACTGAAGACATTCTAGATTGATTTGTTTATCTTTACATGGACATGCTAGAAGACTTGTGGGCATCCTGTGCTTTGTTTCATAACTTTAGCATACTTTTCCTTGATGATATGAGTTGATGGTGAGGCAATAATCATGGATTGTTTTTGTGAGTCCAACTTCTGTCTTTCTGATTTTTTTGACTGCCTAATGACATTAATAAAAGAGTGAAGGGCAGACTGGGTCATTCTAATTACCAACCCTGTTTTTTTTTGGTCTTGAGTCACTTCCTCAGACACTTATTTGCTCTTTGAAGCTAATTTCTTTAATCCTAAAGGTCAGATTTCTTTGTCTCAGGTTTTCTACCAAGTCTTACATTATTTTTTAAAGATAAGAATTATAAATGTCAGTATTGGAGAAAAACACCATTTAATTTCCAATATTTGTAAACAAAAGGTTTAAAAATAAAAATAAGAAAACTACTACATTATTCACTGTGTTCACATTACTTATATGCATATAACAAATGCATGAAATGATATTTGAAAGTACAAGTACAGATACATATGAAAGTGTACTTATGGAAATCTAAGATGCAAATGTACTCATATACATATAGTCTTGTATGCAGATGATGCAGCTCCTCATAAAAATATACACCTATGTAGTAGAGCATAATAGAGTAGTTATGAACACTGGTTTTAAAATCCAGTTGAGTTTGAGGCCTGGGTCTGCCACTTAACAGCTGTGTGAACATGGACAGATGATTTACCTTATCTAACCTAATCTGACTCTGAAATATGTATATGATAGCATATACACTTGTCCTGAAAGTTAATTGAGATAATCTGTGTAGAACCTGTAGCATAGTCCTCAGCACATACACCCGTTTACATCCCATGCTGACCTCTTCTGGCTGCTGAATACATCCAGGGAAAGACTTACTGCTTAGGGACAAGATAAAAAAATCTGAAAACATTTGCTCTTATTTTTACATGACAGAGCCCATTGTACCAAACCGACTATAAATTTACAAACCTCAGAATACTTATGCCTTCTATATTTTACATATAATTGTGCAAAATGGCCTGTATATTTGATAAATCTTAATCTCATGTTATGCTTTAGTGCAAACTTTGAGTACACCTTTGGGAAGTAAGAAAAAGAATGAGAGGTTTTCTGCTTCAATGCCACATGTTTGCATAAGTCAGTACTGAGTAGTTAATAAAAAGTTTAGTAAAAATTTTATCTTTTTTTTTTTAACATTTTTTTTTTTGCCATAAAATGTTGAAATGTATTGCATAGAAGTTGCAAATGTATTAAGATCTGTTTTGCCACCTAGTGGATAAAGGAACGTTACTCATGAAATATAGCAAGGGGAGAAATGCCAGATGTAGGTGATGGGGAGGAAGGCAGCAAATCACACTGCCACGTGTGTTCCTATGCAACAATTTTGCATGTTCTTCACATGTACCCCAAAATGTAAAATGCAATAAAATAAATAAATGGGAAAAAAAAAAAAAAAAAGAAATTTGCTTCCATTGCCTCCCTCCTTGTCTGTCTCCTACCTTCCTCTTTTTTCCTTGACTTTATTACTTCTTTTCTGTTCTTTATTCTCTTCCTTTTTCTTTTACTTGGTAAAGAAAAAGAGTATTTCTTATAAATGGCAGCAGTCACATCTCACTAATCTTTATCTAGCACAGTTCCTAACATGCATTAGTTGTTAAGGAGTTACTTGTTTTAATTGAATTATATACATCGAAACAAAGGAACAGTAATATAATTTATTCAAGGTCATGCAACTGTCCAAGAGCTACAGTGTGAATTCTGAAGCATTTTGGATTTTCATTTCATCAGAAAATGTTTTTAACTTTCAGTCCAGTGAAAGGCGGCGTTGTAGTAAGCATTAGTTAGAATGCCTCTTTAAATTCTGGCTTCCTTTTAGGCCACCACCACCTATCATGACAGATGGTGAAGATTTGGATTACACTCATTTTACAAACCAGCAGAGTTCCACACGGCATTTCCCAAAATCAGAGTCCTCTCATAAAGGTAAGGAGAGTATGTATGGTCAAGTTTAGGATCTTTTATATATAATATATTACAAGCCTCATGTTATAGTGGAAACATCAAATTCTGTGTTCTGACCGCTAGAGTGGAAAAATAAGTTATTCTTCCCTCAGCAGGTTGTTATAGCACTCCTCATTTATTAAAACAGTAACAAAAAAAGACAGAAAACAGAGCACCCTAAATTGAATGTAAGATATTCTGTGTATTTACATGTTCCTCTACGAAGAGCGCAAAGCTTTCATCAGATTCATACATACCATACATACATACATACATACATACATATATATGTATATATTTAGGAGACAGAGTCTCACTCTGTCTCCCAGGCTAAAGTACAGTGGCATGATCTCGGCTCACTGCAGCCTCCACCTCCCGGGTTCAGGTGATCCTTTCATCTCAGCCTCCCAAGTAGCTGGGATTACAGGCGCGTGCCACCATGCTTAGCTAATTTCCGTACTTTTTGTAGAGATGGTGTTTTACCATGTCATCTCAGGATGGTCTTGAACTTCTGGACTCAAGTAATCCTTCCACCTCGGTTTTCCAAAGTGTGCTGGGATTACAGGCATGAGCCGCTGCACCAGGCTCTTTGACCAGATTCTTAAAGGGTGATTGTGACCTCCATTTAGCATTTTCTGTAGTGGCTCTTGTTTCCTATCTGCGTATGACTCAATTAGATTTAAAATATGCATGCATACCTCCCACATAACTTTTATGCAAAAGAAAAAGGGGACAAAGCAAATAAAAAATATAGATACCTAAATTGGACGAAACCTTTAAAATGTGTTACCAGAAAGGGGTCCCAATCCTTGGATCTCCTGTAAGAAAAAATTCTAGGGGAATCCCTAAAGTGAAAGCAAAAGCAAGTTTAGTAAGAAAGTAGAGGAATAAAGAATGGTTGCTCCATAGGCAGAGCAGCAGTGTGGGCTGCTGGTTGACCATTTTGTGGTTATCTGATTATATGCTGACAAGGGGTGTAGTATTCATGAGTTTTCTGGGAAATGGGTGAGCAAATCCTGAAACTGAAGATTCCTCCCTGTTTTAGACCATATAGGGTAACTTCTGGATGTTCCCATGGCATCAGTAACCTGTCATGGCCCTGTTGGGAGTGTCTTTTAGCATGCTGCTGATGCATTATAGTTAGCATATAATGAGCAGTGAGGACAGCCGGAGTTCAAATTTGTCACCATCTTGGTTTTGGCCAGCTTCTTTACCACAGCCTATTTTATCAGCAGGGTCTTTTTGACTTGTGTCTTGTGCCGTCTCATCTCATGACTGAGAATACCTAACCTCCTGGAATGCAGTCCAGTAGGTCTCAGCCCTGTTTTATTCAGCCCCTGTTCAAGATGGAGTTGTTCTGGTTCAAATGCCTCAGACAGAAGGAACAGTTGGGTTGTATTTGTTCTTGCAGGGATCTGCATTCACTTATGTACAATTTTATGAGTTGTAAAATGAAATGGTGAAAAGGTAGCTTCTTATGTTAATTTCCTCATCTGCAAAATGGAGGCAGTCAAAATAGAAAGTGTCAGAGTTGTCAGAATCATTAAAGGTTAAATATGTAAAAGAAGCTTGCAGAGTGCAGTAGACTTTGCAACTATATTAGATCTTATTGATGCTGTTTATTGGTTATGAGTTTTGAAGACTTAGGTGGTATTGTTATTCATTTCCAAATCTAATAACAATGTCCTGAAATTTCTTTAAATTACATTTTCTGCTGTCATTTAAAAATACCATTGCACAGATGACACTCTAGACTACTTAAATCAGCATCTCTGGATGGAGGTTGTCAAGCATTTGCATTTTTAAGAAAGCTTCCCTCCCCCCATTCTGACTTTGATTCGATACTGAGAAAAAGACAAAAGGAGGATAGTTGGACATTATAAACATCTTCATCAAAACATTCCACCTCAGTTTTCATCAATTGGTGGCATTTTCACTGTTCCTGATTTAACAAAATAGCTCGTATTTTTTTTTATCAAACTATATATGTGTCACCTTTTGGGGGGGGTACTTTTGTACTGTCCTTGACGTACATTTGATGCATGATATTAAAATAACACATTGATTCTGTGTGTATGTCAGAATCAAGAAACAAGTACTACTAGAATTGTATAGAAATAAAGTTATTTTGCTGGGGCAGGGAGAAAAAGCTGTCTGAGTTTCAAAAGTTTTTCCTTAATTGTGTTTCCTTTTTTCTTCCCCTCCCCAGGTTTTCATTACAAGCATTAAAAACCTAAGAATCTGCCTTGAAAATGGACTCACTTTAGCAAATATTACTGGGTGATACCGAATGAATTCTACACGTATTTTTTTCATCTGTGTTTGCATTCCTGGGATTTATCCTCAAGCATATATTTCTGACCATAAATAATTTTAATTCATTTCAAATGTTTTGGTTATCCATGATCACTTGGGCAGTATGAGAAAATGTAGCTTCTGAATATTGGCCACCTCTATGCTGCATATACTTCCTGGGATATAGTATCTAAGATCTCTGTAAGCTGCCATTTTGTTAGGTATAGAAGTTTGGTATCTAGGGAGTAGGCCTTATTTAGCAATTCAAATTTTATGGAGATGAATGATCAAAGTAAAAACAATGTTTGGGTGCAACGCAGAATAAAAGAATATAACAAATAGCTTTTTGTTGCATTAGTGTATGATATTTTGAAGGACAGAGCTTTTGCTTTTTGTACTCTTTTGGAAAAGAAAATCACAACCATAAAGTATTTTAAAAAAAGAAACACTTAGAGCAATTGAAGTATGTTATTCTGACTAGATGGACCGTAGAGGTTTTGCATATCTGTCTCAGCCCTCCTGGGGAAATTGGCCTAGATAGCATTCTTTAACACTCTGCCTTTCCCTCAGTAGCAAGGCTTTCTGAAACCCCTGGGCAATGGACCATTTATTAATATTTATTGAAAAAATTTAGTTCACTGAAATTTTAACTTAGGTATATGAATAACTTTGTATCTCTTCTTTTGTTTTTCATTTACTTATAGTGTAGAGCCAAGGAAATGGAATTGAAAAATGATTGCATAAGTGATGACACCATCCATCTCTCTGGCTGTAGACTAAGGTTTTTCTCTTATTTAAAGTCATTGCAGTATTTGTTGACAACCTCTCAATAATGTTCTGTTTATTTGCCAATAATTAGATTAATTCAACATGAAGTTGAATTTGATAAAGTGGTTATTTATTCAAGTATTTGGTGGGTTATTTTTTTTTTTTAAGATGGAATTTCGCCCTGTCACCCAGGCTGGAGTGCAGTGGTGCAATCTCTGCTCACTGCAACCTATGCCTCCTGGGCTGGAACAATTCTCCTGCCTCAGCCTGCGGAGCAGCTGGAATTACAGGCATGTGCCATGTGCCACCACGCCCAGCTAATTTTTGTATTTTTAGTAGACACCGGGTTTCACCATGTTGGCCAGGCCTGCCTGCAACTCTTGACCTCAAGCGATCTACTTGCCTCAGCCTCCCAAAGTGCTAGGATTACAGGTGTAAGCCACTGTGTCCAGCCAGCCAAGTATTTGGTTTTAAACATTTGTATTTCTTTATGCAAGGGATTGTATTCCTTTGTATAATCATTATTATTACAAGATCTTTAAGCCCCCCTTCAAGAAATTGAGTTTTCGTGTAGCTGCTAACCTTACTGCAATATTTATTTCCCTATACTACTTAAATAACAAATGGCAATCAAGCTCACTTGTTCTCCTCCTCTCTATCTCCCCACTCCGTGTACACACACACACACACACACACACACACATCTCTCCCTTCAGCTTGACTTGCTATTATCTTTTATTGTATAAATCTGAAATTCTTGGCATTTCAGTAGGGCGTTTGTTTAGGAAGGAAATATATAGATGACTAGAGAAAATGTTAATTTTTTTCCCACTGGGAACTGCCTTCTGTTTGCCTTACCTTTTCAGATAGCTTTTAAAGTTGGGCAATATTCAGGAAGCTGTTTAGGAGAGTTTCTCAGAGTGGATTTGGGTATCTCATTTTGAGAAAGATTTTTAATTTAATAAAGTTTATGTATTGTAGGAATTTAAATAAAATCATATGAGTTAAGTTTTAGGTAAATGTTAATCAGAAAGATAGTCTGCATCCCTAAGTGATGTCATTTTGGAGAAATGGAGGAAAAGGAAAAAAACAGGACTTCTTATAGCTATGATAAAATGCCTAAAGAAAAACCTCCATTTAAATACAGAAGGGGAGACAAAATGGTAGGTCCTGGCCTTAAGTCAAATTCTGGATAGTGGTTTCAACATCCAAAGCTTAGGCCTTGTTTACTTATAGTAATGCTATATTTTTCTTTATCTGCCCTGTGATTTTCCTTCATGTCCTTCAAAGTTTTTTATGGTAATTTTAAAGGAAAAAACAGTGTATTTTTATTTGATAACTAGGCAAAATCATTTGCCGTTTTTTATTTCATAAATATTTATTTTTCTATCTCGTACTATGATCAGTTTTATTTTAAAAATTCAGTGTTTCTCTTGCCTCTCACATACTTCATCCAGTTATATTTATTATTGTCAAATGTTAACGGGAGATACTTAATTAAAAAAAAATGTCACCACTTAACACTTAACCAGAATGTTAGTGTTTTAGCTGTCTTAGTAAGTGACCAAAGGTGGTATTTCCCTTGTGATAGCTAATTCAACATGTTTATTGAAAATTTGTTACTTTTTTTCAAGGTTTCTAAAAGATTACGATTTTAAAATCTTTTATGTTTATTTTATTTTTGTGTAAAGCAAACACTTTTTAAAGAATATCAGAGTAAATATTACCCTATGAATAAGGAGATAGAAATGAAATTCAGCCAGTTAAATTCTCTTATTCTTTCTCATGCAAGTAATGTAATAATGTTTGAAACTATAGAAGCAACTCAACTGTATTTTAATGAACTGCCAGACACTCTTCACTGTGTTGTCTGCTTTTTACTTTGTCATTTTTATATAAATGTGGAAGCATTTTTTGTTGTTGTTGTTGCTGCTGGAACGAACACACGCAGCTTAATTTTTAGGCCCATAATGTAGTAATGATTTAATGTTGTGATGTAAACTAATAATTCTGGCCTTGGAAAACGTTTCTGTTTCTGTATCTTTGTTCTTTGGAGGCCAGGCCTCGTTAACACCAGTATTGTTGAATAAACAAAATATGTTATGGAGCCTTATCATAAGGCTGCTTGACATAGACACCCACTCTCCTCTACCTTTTATAAATCATTGTTTGGAAGTGAAGTTAGATAAGAGTCAGATTAAATGTTTTGACTTGAAAAATATTTGACTCTTGTGTTCAAACCACTGTTAGACATAAGTATTTTATTAGACGAAAGTATTTTATTTTGGAACTGGACAGTTGTTTACATGTATTTAAAGGAACATTGTGATTTTCAGAAAGTGGCTTTGCATACTATAACTATTTCTCAAGTTACTTTACAACCACCAAGAGCATACCAATAAATTACAAAAACAGAAAATGAAAAATAACCCTAGGTGTTTTCAATGATAGAGAAATAGCTAACTTAGAAAAGAAAGATATGAATAGATGCTCCTAGGAGGAAAACCTTTGTAGAATGGCAATGACCACCTGGATCTAGGTCGGCATACTCTAAAACGTGTGACCTTGGGCTTTATGTTTACTGAACTCACTCTATGAAATTCTGGACCCAATTCATTACCCCCCCCCCCTTTTCTTCTCTAATGTGGCCTGAAGCTCAAGTAGATGATGAGTAAATTCATTGCGGATTGTTGCTCATCTCTTTCCCACAAAGTCAAAACTTTTCAATATAAAAATAATTAGCTTTTAACTGATTATTAATTTTCTTTAATACTGTCAAATCTTGTCTAAATTTTGTGTTGTGCCAAATTTGAAATACCTACTATAATATGGTGCATTCAGTTTACCACATAAGTGGTTAACATTTTAAGTCCTGGATTTTTGTTTGTTTGAAATGGAGCCTCACGCTGTTGCCAGGCTGGACTGCAGTGGCGCCATCTGGGCTCACTGCACCCTCTGCCTCCCAGGTTCAAGCTATTCTCCTGCCTCAGCTTCCCGAGTAGCTGGGACTAAAGGTGCACGCCACCAAGCCCAACTAATTTTTTTTTGTATTTTTAGTAGAGACGAGGTTTCACCTTGTTAGCCAGGATGGCCTCGATCTTTTGACCTTGTAATCCACCTGCCTCAGCCTCCCAAAGTGCGAGGATTACAGGGGTGAACCACTGTGCCTGGCTAAGTCCTGGACTTTTAATGTCTTGCCTTTATATAAATATCACTTTGGGGAATACCAAGATGATTCATTATTTAGTGATTATTTTCTTGAAAGATAACTATGATGATAAGGAGTGACATCTCTGTGTAAACAGCTTTCTGAAGAACTGAGACTAGAATAGAACTTGCAGCCAAAGGCTTTTTCCCTTTTGGGAAGGCAGTATTTGTGTAGAGAGTATTAAGGTAGATTACAATGTACATAGAGTGCCATATTCTGATAAAAGAAGTTTTTCTTAGAAACAATCATAACAAAATCAAAACCTCATCTTTCAGCAAAAAGGAAAAATGATTTTTAAATTACTTTGTCTGTTACTTACTGCTTATAGAGAAGTGACTATATAAAATGTGGTCCCATTTTCTCATTTCTGGTGGTGCCTGTGAGTCTTAAAGCCATATCTGCTTATCTTACTGTTGATAGAATACTTTTTTCTTCTTAGCCCATGATAGGTATATGGGCAGGTAGAAGGTAACTGGAGACTGTCCTGTTAATGCTGCATGGGGCACAATGTCATTCAAATTCTTCGTGGAAGAATCTCTTTTATCCATGGTGAGAGGTAAGAGTATTAAAGAAAAGAGACAGAGGCTATTGTTGGTCCTGGTGTTTAACAACTGTCATTAAAAACGCTGAAACTTAATTCTAGAGAAGTCAAGAAAGAAAAAAACTGAGAAAAATCTCAGTACTACAGAGTCACTTTTCCAATGAGACCTGCACTTTATGCCAGCACTGTTGTGAGGAGCAGTACTGCCTTAAATTAGTTTGACTCTGATGTAAGTGTATGTTACTTCCTTTACGTGACTGACTGTCAAATTTCTGTTGAGATATAACATTCACAGATGATCCCCAAGCATCCTTGTCATCAGAAGCTTTGGATCTTCTCTGCTACTGACTCGTGGCTGACCTGTAACACAGTAAATACATAGTTTTATTTCATGTTGTTTGTCAACCTCTGAATAAGCAGTAGCATGGCCAAAAAGACTGGTAGAAAAAGTGTGAGAATTTCCTGGTCAGATCTTTTATACCAGTTGACCACTTCTTAAGAAATTGAGAGTTGACTGTCTACTATGGTAACTATATAGAAGGTATTTCCAAAGGTTCTGTTGTGCAGGGAAGACATTTAGATTATTTGTAAGAATTTCACCAACACCCTTGGGTATTGAAATGTTTAACCATTAACAGAAAAAAAAAAAAAGGAGAAAACCAAACAAAACAGAGACATTTACTTGAAATGGGAGATTTGCTAATGTGAAGAGTGTTTTTATTTTACTTTTAAGAGAGAAGCAGGAAAACTTTTGCTATGTTAAGAAAGACACCAGAAGGGTGGTTCTGTTTGATGCCACAAGCTAACACAATCTTGTAAGTAATCATGTTGAGTTGTAGAATTATATGGCCCTAAAAACCATTCTCTTTCATATATGTGTGTATAATATATATATACATACATATATATATATATATATATATACACACACACATATATATATATATAAACACTGCCTAGTAACATTTTAATAGATTTAAGATGCATTTGTACATTCTTAGCAAACTAGAAAATGGTTTTTTTCCTTTTCGAGTAATTTCATAGCATAGGGAACCAGCACTGTGCAGGTTTCAGCATTTCAGATAAGGGCAGAATTAATTGTGTAACTTAATGCCCTGTTATTCATTGGTGAGGTTCATATATAAATGATAGAAAAAGTGAAAGATGGGTTTGAGTGACATTTTCTTCATGAAAGATCAAGGAGTAAGAACATGTAAGGGAAGACAGCTAAGAGACTGTACTATCACATATCATATAATTGGGATACATTTTTGTTATGCTGGATATCAGGCTATAATTGCTAAAATAATTTCTAGCTGTTAAATTTGATGACAAGGTTTTTGACATCAGAATTTTTATACTTTTGGTTGAATTGGCCTTGGAAATCCTATGGTTTCTAATTTCAGCTCTTGCTGTATGTACACTGCAAGCC